TCCATTTTCAGTAGCACCTCACCGCCGCCGTGTTTCAGAAAAGTGCGCGCTGCATGTACAGCCCCTTCGCATCCGCCTTTTATCCCGAAACCTAGCTGCACAGGCTGGAATATGGCCGCGAGGTCTGCCTGGATACATGTGCAGCAAACCTTTGAAACAATGCGGCGAATTGTGTTACCAACTGCTATTGGCCGAATATTCCCATCCTTTTTTTAAGAGCGCACAGGTTTACCCCATATAGTATTTGCGTTATATTTGGGCAAACTTTTCCGGAAAGCATTAAATTTACAAGTTGAGTCAATACATTTAGAAGGTGTCGGCCAGTGTTTCCCCTAGCACCTGATAGGAGATCTTTTAAATGTTGAGGTGAAAGACCATCGAGACCACTGGCCGATCCATTACTAAAGGAAGTGATCGCAGCCTGTACTTTCTCAGCAGTGGCTTCCAGTGTACGCTCAGAATGATCAGGAGCATCTAGTAAATTTAAGGCAGCCGATGGGAATGGATGCTTAGCCCTCAGGGAATACAAAGTTTCCGGAGTGTCAGGGGCTAACGCATCACTTGAGAAAAGAAGGCGAGCGGCACCTCTCAAATCGCCATCATTCAATTTTGATTCAGTTTTTTTTAATTATATTGTAACTAATGTTATCTTTAAATTCATCATGTGGATTAGTTTTCTCGAGCGAGTTTAGCGAGCTAAAACAATTATCTTTTATTCTTTGTGTGAGAGAGATGCCATTGCCTACGTCATCTTTAGCAACGTGCAGTGTACGATATGAAAACGTAAGTAATTTTTTCCAGCTTTCTGAATCTGTTTGTGGGAGGCAATCTTGAACTTGTAATGGCTTGTGCGTTCTGGTTTTGTGAATGTTTAAGCCTCTTTGCCCTTTGAAAAAGCGTGGTTGTGAACAGTCTGTACACTGCACGTGGTCTTGTGATGCGGTCGCCGCTGACCTCTCCTCTCAATAGGAATATCGGCGATTGATCGTCACCATGGCAACCGCTGCTCTTATCTATGACGGCTCATTGGCGTACAGATTTAAAAAAATTGTAAAACAAACAAGATGTTTCCTTGTAAGAACTATAGGTCATTTAAATGAATTAATATCCGCAACCCTCCGCTCAAACATTAGCAGACTTGGGCTGACTGTAAAGGCTCAGTCCGGGTTTATTTTACATTTTTAAATATTATTTATGAAGAGCGTAATTTACCAAACACGTCATAAGTCAATCTCTCACTTTCACTAGAACAGAAACAATAGAAAAAAAAACATAGACAACGAATAGAAACTTTTTTCAAACAAAGAGATAAGATTCATTATGGCTGATAATGATAGCATATGTATACAAATAATGATAGCATATGTATACAAATAATGTTTCATAATGAACAAAGATAGCTGTAATTTAGACAAGGAATGCACTAGCCTACTACCGATGTAATAAAGGTCCAAACTAAGCGTCCAAATAACTTAAAATAAAAATATAAATAAACTTTATTGATCTGTGAAAATTCAGTAATATAAGTAGATTTAAGTAATAAATGTTTCAGGTTTATTGTGAGTACTAAAAAGAACAGTTTTGTGTTAAAAAGTATCTAAATATGTGCTAAATATAGTGAAATAACAATAGATTTATATAAAAAAATTAAATTCGAAATAAAGTGTAAAATATCTTTAAAATTGTGCATGAAACTATTCTATTAGTTAAGTTATTCATGTTTATTAATAAAGATTGCTATTTCAACCTTGTGTGCTAGATATTTAAGATTTCTAACTTTGAAAATATTCTGTAAAATAGATATATTTTAATGAAAAACTTAATGTGTTTTTATGTGATAATGAAGTAATGTATGTCATAATAATAAGACTTTGTGTGTCATTAAAATAAATAAAATTGTGTAACGATATGCTTTATAGAAATAAAGATATGGGGTAAAATGCCGATAGGAAAATGATAGGAAAGTGGTGAAAGTTTGAACTTTGCACTCTTATGGGGAAATTTAGAAGATAAATAACTGTTTCATTTCCTAAAGCACCTTCCAACTATATAAACAAGATGCAGTCCATAGCTCCATGATAGCAAGACCGGGACCACTGTAGAGGGACCCGTAATCTTAGTTGCTTAACCTTTCTTATAAGAAAGGGCAACAGACGTTCTCGTGTGGCACTCCTTCATGGGTTCACATCCATCTCGTTGCTCCCGAACCCAACGTGGTGTGATTTATGTTTCGAGGTAGAACGTCAATGAATGACCAACCCCGTTTATTGCACCCTTTCAGTTGAGGGATTGACGTTGAAATCGAACTGCCACCCCTTTCACTGTAGTATATATTATATAGATGTAATTGTTAATATTTTTAATGAAATTAAGTGGGTTTTCATCCTTCAGTGATATCTATGTTTGTGAATACATTTTTTTTGTTGAATAAATAACTTATTTACGTCTATGCTGTTTTCCCACAATATAATGTCATACTTAAGCCATGACTGGGCATGGGAAGCACACATGACCGTTTTAGAATTTGCTACTTTTTTAGTTCATATAAATCAGTATTTTCTTTCAGCCGCTCTACTGCATTAAGAGAAAGTTTTAAATATAATGCAACAATGTGTTGGTACAACCTACCGCCTTCCTTACGTAGCCTTATAACAATCTGGGTATAAATAATTTATAACAATACTTTCTGAATTAAACGATTAATACATTTACTAGAAATTTTACTGTGTTTCATAGGTAACGAGCGATTTGGCACTTTAATGTTTACTAAATCTTGGCTCAATTTGCAAATTTTATTTTTAAATGTAAAAGTAACAAAATTGAAATAGGGAAATTGCATATTATGATTGTCGTAGCCTATATTTTTTTAGAAATCTTTACGGGTTGTGTATTTATTTACCGTAGTTTTTCTTATAAAACGGCTAATCATACTATTAGTCAATTTATATATTTTCTTTTCTTTTTTCTTTTAAATATTTGGATATTAAGAGCGATTGTGCACTCTGCCCCATGAGTTGCCTCGGGTTATGATTGGCTGGATTAAAAATCGGTGCTATCACTTAGTCCGGTCCTTTTCGCATGTTCTCAATTACTTTTATTTACTTTTATTTATCTTTTTGAATATATGTTTTGCAAGCTTAAACTGAAATAAACGCATTTCTTTCTTTCCTTCTTTATATAGAACATAATATGTGAAACGGAAAAGTTTACATTATACTTTCTTTATGTGTTCTTTCCAATTTATACCTGAATGTATGTTTATAACTTAAAATATATGTGAATCAACACATTTTAATTTAGTGTCGTTGTAGGAATAATTTATAGATACGGTGTATTTTTGATACGGCTTGAACTGTATTATATTAGTTTTTGTGTGATATTTTAACCATTAAGAGATTATTGTTAGTACACTATCCAGATATTTGAATAATTCAGATATTTGAATAATAGAAATACAAATGGGATGACTACATTTTCTGTAGTCATCCCATTTGTAATCATCGGCGAACGAGGTACGTAAGGATTATTTTTGTGCAAATGAGTATTGATTTGGTGACCGGTGCTTAGATCTGACTTTAATTATGTTTCCACTGGCTAAGTCATGGAGTTCTATCTCTACACACCACTTTAGATTAGTAAGGTATGACTCGAACCAGTTATAGGTTGGGCGTCTTACTTCTATTACGTGTAATTTCCATAAAAGTATGTCAAATTGAACTCGGTCATAGGTTTTGGTCATGTTCAGTAAAATTCGGTATTTTTTCGCATATTTGTTTTAATTTAATATATATCAAGTCCGAAGATAAAGTCTCATCACAACTAACAAAACGAGCCCAAACTCAGCACATCTAGTTCTCCTCGTGGAGGAGTTCCAGTAGCAGATACCGACACACCTTCAGGTCTATAAAGTCCAAGACGTATAAGTATATTTATATATAAATTCTGCGTGCTTTTAGCGAAACAAAATATTGTAATATAAATATGTGGTTATAAAAATAATAATAATATCTCACCTTGTTCAAGTATGTATCAAATTTGGTTTTTGGGAATTTTTTGTATTTCTACGGCGATCGATATTTTTCTGCACGAGCCGCTGTAACAAACGAGCACTTATGACGGCGTTTGAGCCCGGAGTAAATAACTCTGTGGCTGTGGCTCGGAGTGTGGCTGCAGCCTATTTAGTATAATAAATTAATACAAGGCTCTCAAACCACCGAAAATTTCGCCATATGTTAACCGAAAAAAATAATTAATCATAACTTAACAAAACAAAACTTAACTGCCATTTACATTCCACGGCTTCTCACATGATAGATGAAGCGCTTTATAGATAGATTTAGTTGAAAAATTGACATTTTGAAAATGTCAATTTTTCAACTAAATCATACATCAATCTAAATCAACTAATAAACAACAAGTTATCGTGTTTACACCATGCGCCATGTGGACATGAGAAATACACACCATAAGCCACTAAAACCCCTTTTTTATGTAAAAATAGTAATTAATTGATTTAAAAAATAATAATAAGTTCAACAATTACTTATCTTTCTGACAATATGCTTTTTATATCATTTATATGTTTAATATGATTGCTAGATACGATTTCATGCGACAAAACGTTGGAATCTTAATTTTTAAGAATATAATTATCTTAATCCCTAGCAGAACATACATGCGTGCTTTCTGCTTTAGGCACTTTATAAAGATGATGTTTGTGTGTGTAATTTCTGATAACGTTTTTGTTAAGTTTTTATGATTTGTGATTATGTTATGATTTCAAAATAATTTTTGGTGGAATTGAAATCTTGATTGCCTATTAGTAATATGCAGTAGTCTTCCTTTGTATAATCAATGCATTAACTTGGTCTGTAGTCCCATCACAAGAGGTTCGATACCGCTTCAAATGAGAAGATAATAGCACATATCAAAATCTCAATGCAAAAATCGTTATACACCATAAATTGAACTATTTTTTATTAAAGTATGTATATACGTACCACTTGAAGCTTCTAATCCATTCTTCTTATTATTTAAGTACGCTGCCTTACGTTCTTGCAATACCTGATTAGATAATTTGCAGAATATAAAGTAACATGTTTAATTTAAATTATTCTTACACAAACATTATGACTAAAAGTAAGAAAAATTATCTTCATGACTCCAAATGTCAAACATTTAAATACTTATGTAACTTTAAATGGGGAGGAACTGAGTCTTGTCGATACTACCATTTTTATTAGAATCACAGTAGACGCGAAGTTTTAATGGAGCCCCCATATAATATCAAAAGTAGAAAGCAAGGCTCAGTTCTGCAGCATAATTATGCTGTAAAAAAGATTGGAAATCTTATCAGCGTTAAAACAGCTAGACTAGTTTACTTCAGGTTTTTCCATAGCATAATATCGTATGTTATTTTGCTATGAGGACACGCGACAGTTATTGAAATTATATTTGTTTTGAAAAAGAGGGCCATAACAGCAATCTAAGATTTAAAACGTAAAGAGTTCTAACCCACAAAAAGTTGCTAGAGAAATTAATACATTAACTTTGGCCTCTCAATACATTTACGAGAAATTTATGTACGTTTACAAAAATAATAGCAATTTTACACGAATAACTAATATTAAATCTGTAAACACGCTTTTAAAACAAGATCCCTGAAAATAAACAAAATTTGACCTGCTCATCGTTCAAAAACTTTATTCATCTAAGTTTGTATAAAAAGGGTTATTATAATATTAAGGAATTAATAAATACAGCCATTATCGTCTCGTATAGCATTCAATGTAGGATGTTTTGAATTTCCACTGGCAGTTCTTATGAGTTTCCAGAATATTTTATTATATGCTTGGAAGTTAACAGATATTTTTCTAACATTCTCATTCGTTCTTTCGTGATTTTGCCTTTCAAGTACCTATTTTGCTCTCTTATTTAGATGTTTAAAGACCGCCTTTTTTCTCAACCTCACCATCCATACCAGAACAATTATCACCTTTGGTTGATGGTTAATCTAGCCATGCTATCTTCTTTGCTTCGAACTTCATCCGTACCTCATCATCCCATCATAACATATTCGCTCTCCCTTGTCTCGGTTCTCGGTTTTACTCTCGGAGATTCTTCGCACCCCTGCCCCATTAAAAGGACGCCGGGAACTCGGGGTCATTTATATTATATACTGCCTCATGCGTGATATATTTTACACCGCTACCAAATGGCAAGTAAAAAAATTGAGAAGATATCTATCTTTACCTTATTAGACATATTGTGCAATGTTCTTAAACACTGATCTTCTTTCTTCTTTAAAGTTGACCAGCTGTAGATAAAATTATTGTGCAGCCAGAACGTTTGAAGTCTTTCCATCATATTGCCTAAGATCTGCTTCATTGCTTGCAAGTAATGGCTATTCATAACGTTGTTATCGCACAAATCAACTCCCATGGTAGTTACTGTAACAAATATATTTGCCGAAGCTTTAAAACCTAAAATGAAAACGTCTTCATTTATAATGTCTGTAACTACTACAAATAAGATAGAAAATATAGATGTAGCATCTACTAATTAAATATTTTTTTCGTAGTTTTTTTATTATAATAATGATGACAAGAACCAAATAGTAGCCGTAAAAGAATATTCACCAGGCTTAATCGTCCCGTGGTTATTAAGAGGCGTTAGAGAACCAGGAGAAGAACAGCAAGGTCTTAAGAGTTACTAATACAAAAAATGGTTGGGAACTCGCCTACAAAGCGTGGGCAATCTAGGGGATCGCCTATGTTCAGCAGTGGAGTTTGATGTCTGTGATGAAAATAATGGTGATAATGCAAAGTGACAAGCGAGCACACAATAATCCACGTGACATGATATTTAATGGATGTTTGAGCCACAAGCACTTCTATCTAAATCTAAACGATTAAGAATCAGAATAGAGTCTCCTCGGACCTCAATAGTGTCTCTCAACGGATAGGTCTTAAGATGAACATGGACAAAACAAAAGTCATGTGTAACGTCCATGTCACACCTATGCCGGTAGTTGTTGGGAACACTAAGCTCGAAGTTGTTAACGAGTCTGTTTACCTGGGACAAATAGTCCGACCAGGTAAATCCAACTTCAACCGAGAGGTTAATCGACGCATTCAACTCGGCTGGTCAGCGTTTGGGTAATTACGGCATATCTTCTCGTCAGGTATACCTAACTTAAAAACTAGATTGTACAACCAGTGCGTGTTGCCAGTGATGACCTATGGAACTGAAACTTGGTCCTTCACTGCTGGCCGTATGAGGAAGCCGTGGGCTGCACTACTCCTCCCACCAAGAAAAAAATTTAAAAATATATCTATAATCTACCCTGTGTATACATACATATTTGACATTATAAGGGTATGAATGTTATAGTCGTAACTTAATTTCGCAAACATTTAGCTACTTAGTTATTAAGTAACTAATCTTGTACAGACATTTGTATTGTACTTCTGATGAGTAATTTATATATATATATACAGGGTTATTTTTAAAGGGTATACAAAATTTATATTGATGTTCAAATATATAAAAAACGATATTCTGCTATTGCGGGTTTAAAAATACGAGTAAATAAGGCTTCTAATTTTATTTTAAATAATTGCAAACTTGAATGATATTTATGGGGAACAACTAAGAGTTCGCGCGCACCTGTGTATGCGATTCAATTCATAAAGTTTTACCTACTGTTTACTTTCTTAGAGACACCCTCTTAGCTAATGCTTAATTTAATAACTACACGACGCAAATTATGATTCCATTTCTTTCTTCACATTTCCTTCTGGCTTAGTATCGTCATCATAAATAAAATTAATAAATAAATAACTAATATTGGCATCTCAAAATGGAATACGTTTCTCTCCATGCATAGACGAGAAGGTTTTTGTAAATTATTTTTTAAACTTATTAACTATTCTTGAGCACTTTAAACTTCTGTGATTGCAGCAAAAATTTGCTGCAGCGATCTTCATAACTTTTGGCCACTTTAACGTAAACATGACTCTTTATTTGAGCCCACAGATAAATGTCTAACGGTGAAAGGTCCGGCGAGTTTGCATTCCATAGTATAGGGCTTCCCTGCACAATCCATATGATGTCTTCATATTCACTGTTTTTTTTTTAGGAATAGGGTGACACACGAGCACACAGTCCACCTGATGGTAAGTGGTTGCTGCGGCCCATAGACATCTACATCTATCCTCTATTACAAATAAAAATGCAGATGCGTTGTCACCCGTGAGGACTAAGATGGAATGCCTCGTTTCCAGTAAAAAGGGCCTCCGGCCACCTGCACTCACCAAGCGAAACGCAGAGGTAAACCTCTACTTCACGCTGATATTCTGTAAGGTCGTGGTACTACCCCGGTTCGAGCCGACCCATCCGTGCAACAGCACACATGAATAATTTTACTAGCTATCAAGTGTTCTTCGGTTGGTACGGTGTTCGGTGGTTACGTTAATTTACACGTACACGTACGTAAATTTTTTGCCGCGGTAAAATTTCACTGTCTTATAATATTTGCGCACTACATAAGATTTTCTTTTTTGCTTAAATATAACAATGTTCCATTTCATAATTTTGAAGTATTTGCGTACGAATATCTTTTTTCCGTCATTAGTAACATAATGCACACTCGTACATAATGGTCGCGGTCAATACTGTCAGCTATCGCCCAGACAAGCGACAGTAGGTATCTAGTGGTGTAACGATTAACGGAATAGGAAGGGTGTGGGAAGACGCGCGACAAGGAACCTAGATTTTTAACCGAGTGACCCTTACGAATGTGTGCATGCGTAGTAAAATAGTTGGCGTTAGATATTTGTGAATGACAAACAGTTAAGCTAATTAATAAAAATTATTTTATTAATATTTTTTTCATCATTCGCCTATATTACATATTTTAAACCTGCAAACCTAACTCTGCAATTTTTGGCATATTTTGGCATACCCTACAAGACAATAGTGTATATATAAATGTCGTGTATATTACACTGTACTTTTTATCAGTTGTTCTATTGCAGGAAATAAACCGCTTGTATTGTGGGACTGCAATAACATAATCGCTACGCTTGACAGAAAGACTGGTGATCGCGTTATCAGATATCTCATACCTCTCATGCTAGTCTGCATATTTATATCGGTTATATACGAGATTGTATTTTGCCATCTATGAGATTTAGATACAAAATGAGAAAAATATAAATAAAAATATACTTACAACAAACAGTTTCCAGGGAATTACGTAGCGTGTAAACTAAATGGTCAAAAGGGCCTTTTCCCACCTGTAGTGATCATAGATTAAAACAGAAAACATTTTGATTAGTTATAATAAAAATACAATAAGGCAATCAAACAATCAATTAATTTAAACGTTGTTTTAAATGCTATAATGAACATGGCCTTCGATAATGTCCTGCTTTTGGTAAAATTTGCGGATATTGTCGTAAACCAAACCATTTTACATAAGGTTGCAAACAAAAACATTTAACTGAATTGATTCAACTGAAAAAAAAAATACTCCATGTACCAAATAAAATACTTAGGGCTTGTTAAAATGTGTCACTAAATCAGGAATAATAATAAATAAGAGTGGTCCTTAACATTATAAATTAAGAATAAGAAAGTTTATTTCAATTGTGAGAGACAAGCAACTATTATTTATTTAAGAAAAGTTATCAGTCATGTTAAACCTAAGTCTGAGCAATAACTTTTAAGAAGTAGTAATATTAAGATGTATTTAAGAGATGCCTATATTTTGTAAAATTCAATAGTCCTTTACCTTTATCTACCCAAATTGATGCTAGTAAAGAAGGATTAGGTTACCTTATGCAAGATGACAAACCAGTAATTTATTCATTAAGAAGCCAAACGCAAGCGAATTTTCTTTTAAATCGAAAAAGAATTTTTAAGCATAGTTTAAACAATAAAATAAGTTTTATTTTCATATTTTGGTAGATTTTTTTTTGTATGAATTGAATTTAGGAAGATTAGTTTTAGACCACGATTCCACATCCAAGACCATCCGTGGAGGTCTCGCATAAATTTCTTGCAATACTGTTAACATATCGTATGAATTCTTGAATTTTTTATGCAATAACTATCTCGTAAAAAGCTCGCCAATTTTACTGTTTGCACTAATGCATGCCTTCGATAGCTAATACAGTTGACCAAGGTTAGCCCCAGTTTTGCTTGCTTGAAGTTTTGCATCACAGTCCTCTGAAATGTCGTGGAATTAGCTGATTTCAATAGCGAAGAGGTCATGTGCTGCAATCGTCGTAATCTTTTTCACAATGTTGATGATTAACAGAACATTTAAGTAAATGTCCAAAGTTCCACCGGATGTTCTGTATATAAAGGCGAATAACAATTTAATATATTTCTCTGTCTGTATATTTTAATAAGAGGTGCGTGCTCCGCGTAAACCAAGCGAGACGTAGCCGACTGGTTCGATTGCCGAAATTAGAATTGCAGATGACGCTGCAGTGCAAAGCATACAAATAGTTGAACCAACAGTAATGCCAGAACATCCCACCGCCTAAGCAAAGTCTTCTTTGCTTACACTCACCAAAGGTAACCGACACAACTTAGAAACTGGTCTAACTAATAGAACATTTTGAGCTTTTACTTCCGTGAATCTTACGATTCCGTCCTCGCCAGTAAAAATTTGACTAACTGACCGCGTTTCCAATGAAGAGGGGATAAATCATCCTTCATCATCATCATCATCAATAGAAAACTTCACAAGTCCACTACTGAACATAGGCCTCTCCCAAGGAATGCCACAAAGCATGGTCCTAAGTCACCTGCATCCATCGACTGCCTGCATGTCTTACCAGGTCGTTACTCTATCTAGTGGGGGGTTCGCTCTAAACTTTGCCTACCGGTACACGCTTTTCTTCATCGTTTGTCGGTTCTTCGAGCTATGTGGCTGGACTGTTGCCACTTCAGTTGACTAATCTGATGGGCAATGTCAATCACTCTAGCTCCACTGCGAATATCGTTATTTTTAAGTTTATCACGCAAAGAAACCCCTAGCATAGCCCTCTCCATCTTGACGCGAAGATGTGTCGTAGCTTACCGAATGCTGCCTAGCCGGGTTGGTTCCATAGATTTCCAACTTCAACTGAGAGGTCATCTCAGTTGAAGTTGGACTTATGTGTCTAGTAAGACTATTTGTCCCAAGTAAATATACTCCCCATGTTGAAGCCCAAATTTGGGCATTTTGAAAGGTCATCCAATCACGTTTGACTGGGTGCATCGCCGATGGTGTTAGGTGACGTGAGCGACGCCGGGGAGCTGGGGGAGGGGCAGCGGTATGCCACTTCCCGGCGTTCGACTTCGTGAGTGCGAGTCAGTAGCTTTGCAGCAGCAGTGCTGTCGATTAGCGTATTATTGTGGCCGCTGCAACGGTTTCGCGCGACCAGGTTTTTTGGTTTTATGGTCTAGAATTTGAGTATTTGTGCGCGTTTAATCTTGAAAGCAGCGGTGCTGTCGATTTGTGATTTTTTGTGACCGCTGCAACATTTTCGCGCAAGCAGTTATTGTTTTTGTGGTCTAGAATTGGAGTCTTTGTGCGCGTTTAATTTGCTATTGAATTTGGGTCGTGTAGACCGCCTCGAATTAGTTTGTCTAAGTTGTACGTTTCGGACAAGAGGCTTGTATTGAATTCGACTGATTAAAGTTAAAGTTAATCTTTAATTGAACCGTCGTGTTAAGTGCCTTTTGTGTGTTGACTGTGCAGTTAGTTTGCATGTCAGCTAGGCTGATTTTGAGTCTTAATGCGGGCATAGTATTTAATATCGTACGAAGGAATTTAGTTGTTGTCTGTAACGCTGAACTTTGTGACTCGAGAAGAGATCGCGTTCTTTCTTGTTTGTAATTTGGTGCTACATGAACTGAACCTTGAATATTGAACTTTGAACGAATGTTCGTTATTTGTGTCGAGTCACGTCAAACACGTTTGAAATAACGTTGAATTTGGTTGAGTTTGAAGTTAATTAAATGTACAATAAAGTAGATAGACTGAAATAGTGAAATGAAGAAAGAAGTGTCAATTGGTGACGTCCGCTGAAATGATATGACATGGTGGGGCAGCATCGGACCGCCACTGCCCGATCATCTCAGCTGGGTCAGGTCACATTTATAAACACTACCACACACACTACTTAATAATAATAATAATTATTATAATAATATAATTTATTTAGTTCTAAACAAAAACACAAATTAACATAAGAAAATAAATTAATGGAATGGAACTAAAATGGCGTCTACTCAGGACAAATGTTATAGAAACCACATAGTGATAACTATAATGCTGATTTTCACTAAACGCCAGAGACATAGGTGCAATAAAATAAACTTAGCCAATCACAGGCTCCAACATAAAAATAAAAAATACACTCTTATAAAATTAATAAATAATAATAAAAAAACTGTTAAAATTTAGGAAAGAAAGGCACAATAATAAGCCAACGCAAAAAAAATTACCGTAACAAAACAAAAAAACAAAACATATGCAAAGCACAAGGCACATAATTAAATTATTTAATAAGATACAAAAATAAAATAAAATAAATGGAGAATTTAGCAAGTATTTTTATAATATACAAACATTCAATGAACCTTCATAAGAAAGGTGTAATACATCGACACAGAACTAACTTTGCAAATTTAAAAGATATTCTTTTAGTTTTACTTTAAAAGTGCGAACTCTGCTGCCCTTGATCGGAGGTGGTATATTATTCCAACACTTTGTGGCAGCATACCGAAAGCTACCACGAAACGCAGCCGTTCTGTGTCTTGGGTACAACAAGCGAACAGTTTCCCGTGAGAAACGGGAAACTGTTCGAGAAACTTACTTGTACCTACACCACTACCGCCTCACCGAGCCTTGGGGCAGTCTTCACCTCGGAACCAGGTACGTACTATTCATTTGCCTAGCCTTATATCTATTGTGTAGAATGATAAGTCTCCATAGGCCGTTGGGCCCCACCCTTAGTTGTCCGTCGAATCTACCCAGGATATTTGACATTTGTTGGGGCAGCTAGGGGCGTGTACACCTCAACAACTTCGAGTTTAGTGCTCCTAACAACAACCAGCATAAGTGTGACATGGACGTTATACATGATTTTTGTTAAGCCCATGTTCTTCTTAAGACCTATACGTTAAGAGGCACTATTGTGGTCAATGAGGATAGTGCTTAGGTCCTCCATCAATTCTGCCATAAAGAATATATATCGCTGGCAAATTGAAACTGAGTAATGTACTCTCTATCGATCTTAATACCTTACCCTTCCAGTACAGTAGTTTGAAAACGTCTTCGAATGCAGCGTTGAAGAGTTTCAGGGGTATAACATCACCCTGTCTTACACCTCTTTGCAATGGACTGTAATAAAGCCTTTGATTCCGTCGAAATTTGGGCGGTGCTGCAGTCCCTTCAGCGGTGTAAACTGAACACTCGGTACTTCGAAGTGCTAAAAAGTTTGTACAGTAGGGCTACGATGGCTATCCGAGTACAGAACCAGTATACGAAACCTATCCGTTACTTGTCCTGGTTTTTTACTCGAATAGCCAATATAGCCCTATTTTACCGCTGCACCGCCCAGATTTCAACGTAATCAAAGGCATTCTCATAGTCCACATATGCAAGACATAGTGGCAAATTGTACTCTTCGGTCTTCTGTACAATTTGCCGAAGGGTATGAATGTGGTCTATACTACTAAAGCCTTTACGGAAACTGGTTTTGGTAGGGAGGTTGAAATTGTCGGGTCTACGTGCGAGACAATTCGTAATGACTCTTGAAAACAGCACGTAGACGCGGCTCGGAAGGGAAATCGGTCTGAAGTTTTTCTAGAGAGCGTTGTTACCTTTTTTGAAGAACAAGACGACCACACTTCTGCTTCACGTCTCTGGTGCAGTGCCACCAGGCAGGACGGAATTAAAAAGCTTCTAAGAACTTAAAGTAACGGTCTTCCACCCGGTTTCAGAAACTCCGCTGTAATTCCATCCTCGCCCGGGGGCTTGCCATTTTTAAGGTGCTGGTAAGCCATTCTATTGTCTATCAGACTGACCTCCGGAATATTATCGCAATAGTGCCAGATAAAACTTACTCTTGGATCGTTACTGACACTTGCATGTGGCTCCAACGATGATATGTACAGTTGCCCATAGAACTTCTAAATCTCACTCAAAATCTCAGGTCTCCTCGGTCTTCAGCTTCAACTCTTGACGTTGGCTCTTTCTGGCAGACAGATCTAAAGAAAAGACTTTGGAGCCATGGATCTGCTTAATCGATTCTTCAATACGAACTGTATTGATGTTGTGTAAGACATCATTGAGCAGTTGCTGTCTAGTCGTCAAAATAAAGTAAATCTCATTTTTTGTTGAACACTCGGGGGTCGACTAGGTCCACTTTCTGTGGGGCCGCTTCTGGAAGAAAGAGTTCGTCATATAGAGTCCCTCTTACTCCATGAATTCGGACTGCTGCTGGCCCCTTGGGTTTCCTTGCCCTTCAGATCACCGTTCTCTCTTGTACCTAGTTTTTCGTCGAAGTCTTCCATTAAAACCGTAAAGTGGGTTTAAGAAGAATGCATGGCTCTAGATATATCCTCAAACAGCGGCTGTCCGATTAGAAAATGACTGGGTGTCAAAATCTCCAAATCCTTAGCGTGTGCGTTGAGATAAAGGCTGCGAGTTCGCGTTAGCTTCAACCTTAACAAAGAAAGTTGTCAACTCTTCAAATATCAGCCGAGATTCAACTAGAACATGAATAGCATGTTTCTTGCAGACCTAACAGCTGTTTCAAAGAATCCGCCGTGATTGGGGGCCACAGGAGAGTTGAAAAGCCACCTTATGTTTTCTTTAGTCAAACTCCGCTCTTTGGCTATTTATCTCGAAAAATTAAACTCGAATATATAATTCTTTTAAGTGTTTATCAGTACTCGTAAAATTTGTACCACAATCCGACTGATTGAGGTAGGAAGTTTTCTTTGAGATACGTACCTAATACTAATGCTGCTAGAAATGGATAAATTGAAAGATACCAGACTACTTTTATGTGGGCAGCCATAGAAGATAAGCATACAAAAACACATAAATAACATTTTTATATCTTAGCGTTCCGCAATGTGCTTGATTTAATAGAGATTGGATCGTGAAAGTCTGTTCTGACACCGCAACATACTACGAACGCCTGGGCGAACGCCCTGAATGCCATATTAGTTTGCATGGGCTAAGCCCGATACCTAAAACTGTGTATGTTACATGTTAAGTTACTGTTGGCCATAATATAAGGAAGCTCAAAGTGCTTAGAGAGCTATCAGAGGGCTTTTCTTTCAGATTCTCTACATTGAGCTTTCTTATAAGGCCAGCAGTGAAGGACCACGTCTCAGATTCATAGGTCATCATTGGCAACACGCAATGGTTGTATAATCTAGTTATGAGGTTTTGAGGTATGTCTGACGTGAAAATGTGTTGTAATCTCTCAAACGCTGCCCAGCCGAGTTGTATCCGTTGATCGAACTCTCGGTCAAAGTTGGATTTACCTAGTCGGACTATTTGTCCCAGGTAAACATACTCGTCAACAACTTCGAGCTTGGTGCTCCCAACAACTACCGGCATAGGTGTGTAATGGACATTAAACATGATCTTTGTTTTTTCCATGTTCATCTTAAGTCCTATCCGTTGAGAGACACTATTGATGCCATTGAGCATGGGACTTAGTTCCTCCAGTGATTCTGCCATAAGGACTATATCGTCGACAAACCGAAGGTGAGTGATGTACTCGCCATTTATGTTAATACCGTATCCTTTCCAGTCCAGTAGCTTGAAAACGTCTACCAATGAAGCGGTGATGAGTTTCGGGGTTATAACGTCACCCTGTCTTACACCTCTCTGCAATTGGATAGGTTTCGTACTCTGGTTCTGTACTCGGATAGCCATCGCAGCCCTACTGTACAAGCATTTCAGCACTTCGATATACCGATGGTCTACTTTACAACGCCGAAGTGACTGCAGCACCACCCAAATTTCGACGAGATCAAAGGCTTTGTCGTAGTCCACATACGCAAAACAAAGTGGCAAATTTTACTCTTTGGTTTTCTGTACAATTTGCCGAATGGTATTTATGTAGTCTATGGTGCTAAAGCTTTTTTCGGATCTGGCTTGTTTGGGAGGCTGAAATTCTTCGAGTCTGCATGCGAGACGTTTTGTAATAACTCTTTAAAACAGCAAGTAGACACGGTTCAGAAGGGAAATCGGTATGTAGTTCTTCAAGAGAGCATTGTCGCCTTTCTTGAGGATCAAGACTACCGCACTTCTGCTCGGCGCTGTTCCGGAGGCGTGGATGGAATTAAAGGGATAAAGGACTTTTAGTACCGGTTTTCCAACAGCTTTCAGAAGCTCCGCTGTAATTCCATCTTCGCCTGGGGACTTGCCGATTTTCAGTTGCTAGAGGAATATTCTAATCAAGGTGAGGCTGACGTCCAGGATATCATCGAAATAGTGTCGGGTAAGACTTGCTCTTCGATCGTTACTCACACTTGCGAGTGGCTCCAACGATGACGTGTACAGCTGTCCATAGAGCCTCTGAATCTCACTCAAAATCTCAGATATCCCGGAAATAATGCTGCTACATGCGGTCTTCAGCTTTGACAGTTGGCTCTTTCTGGCAGACAGATCTCTGGCAAAGACTTTAGAACCCTGGTTCCGCTCGATCGATTTATCAATACGAGCAGTATTGATGTTGCGTTATTCCCGCCGCATGCATTTAAAGATCTGTCTGTTCAGTTGTCTGTATGTTATCAAATCTACTGAAAACTGAAGCTTCATTTCGCATCTAATAGCCATGAGATTAAGAGAGTGATCGGAGAGTTTTTGTGTTCTTCTTCGGCAGGTCTTGCAAAACTTAGCTCCGACCGTAAAGACAGTTTCCACGAGCTTGTTATTCATATCGTCCACTGCATTGCAATCTTCTAGGCACTGAAAACGGTTTTGTAACTCCAGCTGAAAGGTTTCAGGACTTTAGATTAGAGCATGAGGGAGACGGAGCGTTGATTTCATTAGACCACACCTCTCCAACTTAACGTTTAGGTTCAGTGTGCCTCTAACCATTCGGTGATCGCTACCACTTTCACACTTGCGATCACTGAGAAATCACTACACAGTTGCCGTATAGTCGTCATAATGAAGTCAATCTCATTTTTGTCGAACCGTCAGGGCTCGACCAGGTCCACTTCCTATGGGCCGCTTCTGGAAGAAAGAGTTCATCATTAAGAGTCCCTCTTTCTCCATGAAGTCGGCCAGCTGCTGGCCCCTAGAGTTCCGTTGCCCTAATCTTAATTTTCCTACTTTCAGCACACCGTTCTCTCTTGCTTTGCGTTGAAGTCTCCCAATAACACCGTATAATGGGTTTTGGAGGAATGCATGGCAATAGAGATATCCTCATACATTTCCTCCACCTCCTCATCGGGGTGTATCATTTGGTGATTCTGTGTATAAGGTACGCAACTCTCGTCGACACACTCCCAACCTTTACAACGTTGTTAACGAGAGACTTGTGGACGATAAATCCGACACCTGCTTGGGACAGATGGTCGCCCTCCCGGTGATAGAACAAGTTGCCGGATTCGAGGAATACCGTGTCCTTTCCCTCTTTTCGGACCTCGGATAATCCATGATATTCTAGCGCTACTTGTCTATCTCCGTTTCCAGCCCCTGGATCTTCTTGTTAATCCTCAGAGAGCGTGCGTTATAAGTTTCCAGGTCGAGTCGTCGTAGGTGGCAATCGAACCTACAACGGGGATTCTTAGCACCCTATTCCCCGCCGTTACCCTGGTCGCCATCGTAGCCAAGAACAGCGGGGCCGCCGGGAACTGGAAGCCATTTATTAGTGTCGTTGCTCATGGGAGGTACATTGCCATGGTTGGCACGCATGTTGAGCGGGTTGGCAACCGCAGTTTTTTTTTATTGCTTTTTGCTGTTATCAAAAAGATACTGCTGCCCACCTTCTGCCTCAGTTTCCCTCTGTCACCTTTTACGACACCCACTGGAAGATATGGGGTAGTGGGTATTCTTATCCACCACTACACGGGTTAATATATTAAATACAAAATAAATGTTGTAGACAGTGATACAAGATAACTTCATTGAAAACAAAAATTGCTAAAACATAATGGATAATAAAGAATTATACATATAAATATTTGCATTCGATTTGTTTTTGAAACATGAAAATCATTGAAACAAAAAGGTGAGAAAAAAAAAACTAAACAAAGTAAGTGAGAACTGATAGGCTACCAGTGACTATTTATATATCGGTGTGTACTTAAAAGTTACTACAATAAGTGAACTTTTTTTTGAAAGGTTTCGTATTCATTGATCATTTATTCATCCTTTTCTCATTTATTTTTAAAATCTAACACGAGTATGAAATACCTTGGCTCTCACATTTTCAATCCGTATTAGCAGCTTAAAAAGACAACATTATTTCAGGTTAAGGCGATACCCCGACCAATACCTTGCGATACTGCGTTTTTCTTCGTTATTCAGAGACTATTATCTCGTTAGTTGTGAGAAATAAACTACATCTAAATACACATTATTAATGTTCGATATCCTACCGTCGCATTCCACATTTTATTTTGTTTTTATGTGTAATAAATACATTCTAAATCTACTTTTAAAAAATGATTCAAATTATTGATTACACACATCTGTTGCTAAAAGGCTCTTTAAGGATTACACTAATGGATAGATAATTTAAAAATCTATATTATTCACCTTTTGTTAAATTATTAAAGTTCACTTTTCTCTTTTAATTAAAACAATTCCAAAAATTATGTGAATTCCATGATAAAGCGGCGTACGTCTAAAGAGGGAACGAATGCTCAAGGTTATTTGGTTAGGGAAACGCCTTAAAGTTATGTATAAGTCCCAAGTGCCTCTAAGAAAACTTTTACAACATTTATTTTATTAATATTAATAATATTACACTACCTCGACCTCTAAATCTTTTACAAGGCGTCTGGACTGGCTGTTAAAAACCTTCTGATATCCATCCAACACCAGCTGATTAAAAGCTGGGTTTAACAGTTTTCGATGACGCTTCCATATTGATTCTGCGCAAACATCATATTTAACATATAAACTACACATTTATTTATTCACTTTCTCCTTCAAAATTTTATACTACAAGTTAATTTTCGATTAAATATATTCTTTAAATTTACACGATTTATTATCTCTAAGTTTAAAAAAATATACGTACCTTTTCCGGTTAAAAGACCCTCTCCTAGCCAGGGTTTAGCAAATTCATATATAATGTCCTTCTGTAAACAAGCGTTAGCCACAGTCAAGCAGTCTTCGGGATCTGTTAACACTGGAAACAAATCAAAGGTGAAAATAATTTATTTGTGTGTACTATACCTTATAATACATAATACCATATTATAAATACACTACCGTATGTGGTCTGAGGTCCAATTGATATTTTTGCTACTCCACCCGCTTTTAAGCTACTATATGACATTTCTTTTACATTATTCCAGAGATCTGGGAAATAAATAAAAACCATAGCTTTATACGTAAATATTCTTTAATTTAAATTGTGCTTGGATTTCGCCTATATTTTAAGCCCTAAACTTTAAGGTAAACATTGATCTAGGTGTGCGTCACATATGTACGTCGCAGTATACAAAGTGGTAGAAAATCCTGGTAAACTGGATTAGTAAGGACCTCACCCTGCCAGCAGTTATGTTCCATTACTGAACGGGGATTTGTCAAGAAGGGCTATCAAGGACCGTCATGGTTCAGAAGGTGGCTGCTGAGAGTGAACGGAACAAGATAAATCCCGCTCGGGAACTACATCAACAAGGCATAAATCACGGCTCTTCTACTGGTGATGATGGTTTCCTTTCAGAAACGGGGCTCCTGGAGTTGCTAGCCATCATTTTTAGGGGCCCAAATGCTGAATTTAGTAACTTACAAGGAAAAAACGACTCTAAAGTGGTCTCGAGACATCCCGATAGCACTATGAGGCTATTAGAGCAGCAAGCATCGGGCTAAGATACGCTTCCAGCAAAGTAAATAGCGAAACATGGGTGCCAGTTGCATGCCAAATGGAGATTCAAGGACCGGAATCACCGGTAGCGAACTAATGGTATCATAATACTTTTTTGTCCCAGGGAATGTATTCATGGCGATATTGTCACTTTAAACTTTCCATTTAGTGGTTAATTTTAAGTTCAATTTATATTTGTGTCTATATTAAACTTTAAAAAAAAGTTCAATAACTTCAAACGCAACCATCCAACAACTCGAGTGTACAAACTTTCTATTTGCCAATAGCATCATTCATAAACACGTCAAAATTAGCGTTCCTAGCAGAACAGCAGACAGGCGGTCGCTGTAGTCGCGGATGCAGTCGGGTTGGAAGTCACTGGGAGGAATGATCATCGGCAAACCTTCAGTATGCGGCTTATGGACAGAACTTAATTTCGAAATGGTAAAATCGAACTCTATGGATCTCTATAAACGTGGTAATATATAAAAAATTAGCCTCGCGAATCATCCTTAGAAGCAATTAAAAATTATAATCTTTTGTTCCGATCTACGCAGTATGAATTTACATTATCTTGAAGTCTTACAGTTGTACGCTTGGGTTGGGATTTAATTTTATTAATTATGGGATCCCAAGCAGATGGTAGTACCCAGCCATCTCCTCTATTGAAATTAGGACGTTTTTTGATTTCAATAGCCTCGCGAATCATCCTTAGAAGGAATCGGTGTTCTTTAGCGAGGATTTGTGGTCTATCAAATCTAATGTAGTGACGGGGGCAATCCTGTACGTGTTCACAGACAGCAGACTTCCCGGAACGTTGATTCTTCACATCAGCTATGTGTTCTTTTACGCGGGTTTTTATGGATCTTTTAGTTTGTCCTATATAAGAGAGACCACATTCACAATCAAGATTGTACACTCCAGCATCTTGCAGCAGAGGGACATTACACTTGACTGATGGTAAAAACTGACTAATCTCTTCGGCGGCTTGAAGTATGTAAAATTAAATCTAGACAGAAAATTGATAATACTTACGTGTGCTAAAATTAGTTTTAATTATTAAATCATAAATGAGCTCATTGTTTTCCAGCTGCTAGGAAGTGTTATGCCAGCTCTAAACATAAAGCACACAGATGCGTTTTCCGCCCGGTTTTCCTAGGCGGAAAAACGTGCCTTAAATTAATTTTATATACAACTATGCAACTCTTATCGACAACTGGACATGGAGGACAAATATATAAACCAATAAAAAAATTGTATACTTACAAACAGTATCTCCCATAAAAATATGTGCATGTCCGATCAACGGCAATGCTCCAGAAAGTGTGGGTGGTTCCAGTTTAGACTTTGTTTTTCGATGCCACCATGTCCAATACAGCGCAAACGTTATACAAAAGAAAGCTATATACAGCATCTCAATCTAACCTTAAACATTAGCGAAAACATTAATGAGAAAACGTGTATAGATGATAAATTTTAAAAGAATCTAGAAGACATGAAATTCGCTTAAACGCATTGTGTCAACGCTGTAGGCTTTTCGATGTTTTAAGCCCTCTCAAAATGCCTAGCATATAGCCGCATGTGGACTATTATTCTTACCTCACTTTTGAAAAAAATAAGAAAATAGTTTATTTAATAATACATCATTACTGTTTGTATATTTATTTAACTTCAACATTCAATCTTAGAGTGAAACAGAGAAAATATGAGGAAGGTTTATAAGTTAGGTGTATTAGTAAAAATAGAAATGTAAATTTGAGTTAATACTATAGAACCAAATAATAAATATACCCATCCACATACTTACATATTATTAAAATTTTGTTAAATATCTATCAAACAGATTGCTTGTAATATCAAAGTACATGGAAAACTGATTAAATAGTGTATGATGATTATTTCATAAATTGTAAGAGATATAAATTGGTTCTACACGAAGGTATTCGCGGATAAAATGTAGTACCTTTATAACATTATATATGTATTATAAACATATAAAAATAAATAAATTACATAAAGAGCTGGGATGATTAAGCTAGTTTATTAAAAAAATATCGAATTTTCTTCATGAATGCATAAAGATTTTTAAGCCGTTCGATTTAAAGAAGGAGTGAGTTATGATGAGAACAGACTGTACAATGAAGGATGTATTCAGAGTTCAAAATCTAGTAAGTTCTTAAGAAAAAAATATTCGAAGAACTCAGGTTTCTATCATAGCTGAAGCAAAGATACTGAAAGTGGGGAGTAAAGTAAGAAGAGGGAGTAGCAGGCATCTTACTACAGTGAATAGAGTATAGGGTTGAGTGTGCGAGAATGCGCTATACTGAGCTCTGACGAAAGGGCACTGAAGATGTGTAGCCACTTTAGTAGCAAACGATAAGTAGACGAGAGTTTTCGACGTTAGTACTAATATATATTACTATTATTATACATAGAGTACTGATACTAATAATGTATAGCAGTATAAATTTACCACGAATGGGAAGGTAAAATAGAAGCTTTAGGCTGTTGTGTTACGTATGGTGAATGTAGAGAACCGGAGAATCATTTTACTGGAAAAGAGGCATTCCATTTTAATCCCCACGGGTGGCAATTGCATTTGTATTTTGATTCTCTTTTTTTCAAATCCATGTATTTATTTGTGAATATAGTGGGTTAGGTGTTCGTAGTCTATATTGAGGATAGATGTAGATGTCTATGGGTCACAGCAATCACTTGCCATCAGGTGGACTATATGCTCGTTTGTTACCCTATCCTATAAAAAAGACATTATAGGGTCATACTTGCGAATATTGAAAATGAATCGAATACTGATGTTAAGAAAACGGTCGTATTTTAAGAAGATCTGGATTCAGACCGACATAACATACGTCACGGTATGTATACGGTCAGGGGAATAACTAAGGTTTGCAAAATAATGGCTAATAATCTTCCGCTCAACAGATGTCACCAGTTGGGAATGCGGTGAAGTTTCTTGTTACAAAATATCATTTTTTTATAGGATAGGGTAACAAACGAGCACACAGTCCACCTGATGGTAAGTGGCTACTGTGACCCATAGACATCTACATCTATCCTCAATAAAGACTCAAGATGCAGATGCGTTGTCACCCGTGAGGACTAAAATGGAATGCCTATTTTCAATTAAAAAGGGTCTCCGGTACTCTACACTCACCAAACGAAACAAAGCACCGTTAAGCTGCTATTTTACGCCGGTATTCTGTGAGAGTGGGGTCATTAGCCGGTCGAGCCGACCCATTCGTGCTACAACTATACTACTAATATAGCTGTAGCATGGCTCTACCACGTAGAAGTTGAAAAATTGCGTTTAAAATGAAAGTTTATTTATCTCATTCTTGAGTGGCTTCGCCCTGGTAGCAGAATAGTCGTGGACTTATGCCTTTTTCATTTATATTATTGGCTTGATCCAAAGTGAAAGAAAGTTTTAATATAAAAAATTAATGTAAATAACAAACACTATTTAAAATGTTACAATTTCTTTACATAATGAAAATAAAGCAAAGCTTTGCCTGCCTGTTAGAATACTCGTATACATACAATTAAACATTTTAAATTCTTCACGAAAAACTGAACTTTTATCAACAATGTTAATCCTTAGTCCTTCAATTTTTTTTAATTTTAATTTCTTCATCACACATCACGACAAAACTTGCGATACCATCCATACCACCTGGATGATTGGCGGTCCACCACTGTGCGATTTAGAAGATGTTTTCTTCCTCGCACAACTTCCTTGTGGAATAGATTACCACCATTTTTTCGGAACGATACGACATAGGGACGTTCAAGAAAAGAACTTACTCCTTTTTAAAAGGCCGGCAACGCATCTGCAATTCCCCTGGTGTTGCAGTTGTTCATGGGCGGCGGTAGTCACTTACCATCAGGTGAGCCGCATGCTCGTTTGCCCCCTCTCCTATAAAAAAAACCCTAATACTACACGCAGAACGAGCGTGTAAGTGAAGACCGAAAGAGTATAACTAGTTTATTATACTTCTAGCCTGACTGCCACGTCCGGGACACAATTTGCTAAAATTGTATGTAAGTTAATATGAGAGTAAAAACACAAAGTATAACAAAATAGAAAATACTACCATTAAATTTAATAATTGTAGAAACTATCCAAACTCTTATCACAATATTATGACAAAAATTATAAGTCAGAAGTACATTATATTGCCATGTAACTGTGTTGAAGGGAGTTCTGGACAATGGCAGCAATCAATTAGTTAATAACATTACTTTTTTCTTTTTATCCGACTTCCCGAGACAGAGGACAATATTTTACGTGTTTTTTTTTTGTTTGTATGTACGTCTATTTCTGTAGTATGATTAGTTTTCAAAACGAAACAGAAGAAACTGAACAAGCAGTCGGAGTAAATGTCAATTTAGCATGACTCTTAACATTGGTAGAATACATCATTATAATAGCACAAAATAAATTTAAAACGGATTAGTAAGCTGAAGTGGCAATGGGCCGGCCATATAGCTCGAAGAACCGACAACCGATGGGGAAGAAAGGTTCTCGAGTGGCAGCCTCTTACCGGCAGGCGAAGTGTAGGGCGTCCCCCCACTAGATGGAGTGACGACCTGGTAAGATTTGCAGGGAGTCGATGGATGCAGGTGGCTCAGGACCGTGCTTTGTGGCATTCTTTGGGGGAGGCCTATGTTCAGCAGTGGACTTGTGAAGGGCTGTAATGATAATGATGATGAAATTTTATTGGTGTGATTTTTCCCTAATTGTTTTTTGAGAACTTAATTTTACTGTCGACTTGATGCTCAAGTCTCTAATCGTGTCAAATTTTTATTGGGGTTTTCATAATGTCTCTTATTTATTATTTTTTTATATAAAATTGCAAAACCATGTGTAAACATTGAAATTAATGTCATTATTTTTACATCACTTTCCTCATGGAGCATATTAATATTTTTTTAATCATCAGCATTAAATGTATGTTTTAAGATTTATATATTTTAAAAATAAAATAGACAAACCTAATAAAATAGGACAGCTAACACAAAGTAAAAAAATAATTTATGGATTAAGAAGTTGTGTGATGTGATGAAGTGATCCACCATGTCGAATACTTCAACTTCATTACCCCAGCTCAACTGATTTAAAGTGCTACAGACAATTATCAAATTAGAAGGTGAATGAAAAGAAATAAAAATAAACAGAAGAGTACATAAAGGTACCCGCTATCGCAAAAATTATTTACCGCTTTTATAAAAAAACAGGCTTTTATAGGAATAGCCACAATGTGGCAAAACCATAAACGGATAAAAATTGTCTAACTTATGATTTGCAGATGATATCAAATTATATGCTAGAACAAGAAACCACCTCAAAATATGCTTAAAGACCGTGAAATTTTGTTTGTGCGTTCTTGTGCATGTTTACATAAAGGAAAAAAAATAACCTCGCGCTTTTGTTGAGTATAATATGTGCTTCAAAAATTACTAAACAAAACAACTAAACAAGTCTATAAAGATTTGATCTAGGGTAAATTTTTCGTTATCCTACAGTTGCACGTTGTTGCATCAAATTTAAACATGAACCAAAGACGACACTCGCTCGGGACGTCTTACGATAGCAGTAATCGTAGAAACGGTAGTAAAAATTATTAGTAGGTCGTCCTGTGTGCATAACAAACGCTTCGAATCGAAAAAGTTTCCACACGTATGATACCCCGCATACTTACTAATGCGCAGGAACAAATTAGATAAAATATTTCTCGGGGCTTCAGGAAAATGTTTCAAAAAGATCCCGATCGGTTTTAGCTCGAAATACACCAATAGACGAAACGTTGTTTAACTATTACGATCCCGAAACAAAATTACAGTCCATGCCTTAAAATATTCTGCATATAATGTCTTCTTCATTATATATTTCTATTATATAATGAAGATTGTCATCATTATATAATACTCTCCTAGTTACGAAATAATGGTGCGGTTGGTAATGACAAATACTGCCTGGAACGTCTCCCACAAATGATTTATCATACGTACTCAGCAAAATACATTACAAACAAAAAAAAAGGCAAACAAGGCCATTTATTGAGCTCTTAGAATATCAAGGCAAGTTTTTCTGACAGTAAGATCATACTCTCTCTCTCTCTCTGTCTCTCTCTCTCTCTCTCTTTCTCTCTCTCTCTCTCTCTCTCTCTCTCTCTCTCTCTCTCTCTCCCGGTATAGGTAAAGGATATTTATAATTTAATATCTCTATCACGCAGATGACATGTTATGTTCGCTCTGATGCAGAACAAATTAAAAAATTGCCCAACGAAATTCGTGAGAAAGGCCTGTTGCGGAGAGGCTACTTTGTGTCACATGTCCTTATTTATTTCTAACATTGTAATGGGAAAAATTTCTTGTAATATTATGTAAATATTT